TTTGGCTTTGGTACAGCATTGTGCCCTTCTTTCAGCAAGTAGGGGAGCAGTGTACCAATGAATTTGTGAGGTGAGAAATGTTTTGCTTGGCTCATGCTTGAAGAGTAGTTGCAAATACTGCATCATTTTTATTAATAGGGAACTTAGGGGGGTGGAATAGTCACATTTGTTCAAAATTTTCATTTAAAATTCAGATGATGAAGGGAACACATGCTTCCAGCACAGCATGAGCTGAAGGACATGGTTGTGTATAAGATGCAGGTGATACTCAGCAATGTGTGAGCAGGTCACAAAGCCATCCCTCCTTTCTTCTCAGCATGGGTGAGTTTCTGCCTTGCACTTGCGGCCAACCTATTGTGCCATGCTTACAGGTTTGCTGAAGAAAGTCCTAAAAGCAATGAAAGGAGGGAGATCTAGTAGATATGTCCTATGGGTAAAGTATCAGTGAATTAAGGGTGTTGACCTGAAGATACACTGATCACCTTTAAATATGCAAGAGGCTGCAGCATGAAGAGTGGAAATTGTCTCCTTTTTCCACCCATAGCAGAAAGGATAGGTTTATAGCACAGCTCAGGACAGTGCTGGGGGCAAGGGCAGCCGGGCTCCTGTGGAGATGGCCTGGGGAAACTGTGAAGCCTCAGCAGCAGACATTTGTCAGGACGGGCTGGACGGATGCCTGATGGGATGTTCATGAGGGCAATCAGCTGTTTATAAATACTCTTACTCAATGCCTTTCTGCAGTTTGTGTCTGCTATTGCTGTCCAGGTGCAATGGCCACCAGGACATTCTCCTGCTTCCATGACGCTGCAGACACAGTTTAACATGCCATATGCAAAATTCAGCACATATTTAACTTAGTTCATCTGGGTAGCGGACACCCCATATAAATACACAAACTCATATTTAGCCTGTATTTGCAGCACGGCTGCAAAATATCTAAGAAATCCAAGCTCGTTCTGGGATTACTTTTGCGCTTGTTTAGTTTGGCATGAGATTTTAGGGCCTGGAAGAGAAGGGTGGATCTGTTTTAAAAATATATGCATCTTCTGCAGACCTTGTAAGGTATCCAGCAGGAGCTGCCTATAGCTAGGGTTTTTTCTGAAGGAGTGTTAGTTGTCTAACAAGTGCTTCAGCCCCCAACTCCCTCAGGGCTCAGTTACACAGGAGCACATTAAAGAGACCCAGACACAATCCTCTCTCATCCTGGAAGGAAATGCAGCCTCCTGCTCATGGGGCCTTCAGTCCTGTAGGCTTAGGGGCTTGAAACCCACCCAGCCCTGGAGTTTCCAGCCCTAGCAGAGGGTCTGGCTTGCACCAAAAGGCAGGGGGTTGCCAGCAGGGAACCTACATGTGGTTCAAATGTGCAGGTTGAGAGTCCCTGAATGTCTCAAGCAGACTCAGAATGGAAAGGAAAAGACCACTTGGCTTGTATCAACAGTGTGTAAGAGAAGAGGCTGACCCCTCACATGCTGATTTTCACTTAGGGCTCAGTGCTGTATCAGCCAGGACTTTGCTAAACCCAAAGAGGCATTGTTTTAGTGAAAGCTCCAAAAATCTTGCTTTTTTTTCCACAGTTTCCATACCAAAGTGCATTTGTGGGGATTGTATTTTCTTTTCTTGTATCTGGTTGCACTCAGAGATTTATAATGTGCGCCGGGCTTTGCTGCTATTGCTAAACCACAAGTGCTGTTCCTCCTTATGGTGGCCCTTACTCCCCCCTCTCCAGTCACTATTTCTGAGAGCAGATCAGGATGCTATTTTTGATTTTTTTTCTCTTTAAGACATATCTAAACTCCAGCCAGAACAATTTGTTTCACTTTTAAAGAGAAGAAAGGTGGTGCCTACCACAGGGCTCATTTTGATGGCACGCAATGCTACAAAGAAAATTGCCAAGAAAGAAACCAAATCCAGCAGTATTCAAGTTACTATTCAAAGGAGACTGGTCTGCCAGAATGAAAGCTTCCTCCTGTGCTTGTATCGTTCTTCATCAAACCTACAGCAAATGAAAGCTTTTGCTGTGTGCACAGCAGGCAGTGGGACCCTTCTGCAATTTCCTTATTTTCTGCAAAATCCATCATTTCTTTCCATGCAAGACATTCAACCTCTTCTGCGGGCCATCTTCACTACTGGAACAACTTCTTTTCTGTGCAAATATTGTAATTGTCCTTCGACTCTGACCTGATTTTATGCACTTTTAATTTTTATTCCTCCTTCAGTGTTTAAAAACTTTGACAACACCCTAAGAACTACAACACGTAGCACAGCATTAACATCTCTTAATGAACCAACTACCATTTTCTCTTCCCATTGCCAGGGGTTGCTCTGCAAAGCCGTTCCCCTCTGCTTACTCCACCACCTTCATGCATGCTGCTGCCCTTGTGCCAGCTCAGGCAGCAATCCCCCCGTGCCTCCCACACCTCAGCTCTGCCTCCGTCTCCCTCCCCTCACCTGGTCCCTCTTCTGAAATCCCTTCTCCATCCCACTCTGCTTCCCCGAGTGATGTGTTGTAGGTTGTGCAAACTCAGTGTGTCTGGAATGTTTCCATCAGCTTTACTGTGGCAGAACAGTGTGCCTTAGCTTTTGTAACAAAGAACTTACAGTTGCAGACATTTTTGTTGGTAGGCGTTTGATACGCAGATTTTGACTGTCAGGACAGATTCACAACAGTTTTCGATTTGGAAATCATAGACATTGGCACCTTTAATGAGTCAGAGATAGCTGAAGGTGAAAACAAAGGAGTATTATATAGAGTATTATAAAGGTGATGTATTTATTACTGATTTCCAACATTATTAAGTAAAATTCATTAGGTTATTAATTGGAGATTAATAGGAGATATTTTGCCAGCAATATTAAAAATGAGATGCTTTGCCAGATTAGAGAGAGAAATTGCTATTTGCAAGAATACAGGATGGAGATGCAGCCCTCCCATTTGGTAGGAAGCAAACAGATCTCACACATCACTTGCTAGAGGTTTTTTCTGGTAACAGCAGTAGATGCAGACAATTTTTAAGAAAGAAATCCACAGCTTTCCAAAGGTGCTGAAGAACTTTGATCCTCAGACACAAGAAAGAAATTCAGCCTGTGCTGACTCTCCTAAACTCTTTGGCTTGGTTTTTCAAAGGATACTTTATTTGTTTGTGCCGATAACTTGACAGCTACACAAACTATGGAACAAAGCAGCAGATCAGGATAAGTGGTCTTTTTCAACATCTTCCACATCTTGGTCACTGTTGAAAATAAACAACTGCTTATTTTTGGTCTCCTGAGTCAGTGAATGGCATTGTTGTCTTTCCTGAGTCTGAGCTGTGAGTTATCAGTGTCCGTGTGCCCTGGCACCGTGGCACACATTGACCACTCAGCCATTCACACATACTAAACTTCGCTTTTTTATCCACTAGGGCAGAAAAATCTCGCTGAACGATCACAAGCTGTGTCTGATGCCCTGAAGCGGGACAAGGAGAAGTTTGGGTAAGGACCAGCTTACACACTGTACAGTCTGTGCTCCTCGTGGAATACCCAGGGATTTGGAGGCACCTCTGAAATGGGCTCTGCAGAAGCCTACACAAAGGTAGCTCAGGGGGAAGGCTGGGAAGGAGGAATTCAGGCTGTCCTCTCAGGGAATTTTGCACCTTGCTCTGAGCCAGGCGCACAGCAAAGTAGCTCTGGGGGGCTGGCACCATGTCAAGGCAGAAACTTCTGACCCACAAAAAAAAAAGAAAAAAAAAAAAGAAAGGAGGAAATCCTCAATTTTTCCCATTTTCCAATACATGTAGGACACTTAGGCCAGATATTACCAGTTTGCTTTTTTCAAGGAGAGGTGGGGTTGAAGTGGCTGTGTTTAGCCTGGCACAGCTTGGTGCCAGGGGGAGGATGCTGGTGCAAATGACCGAGGCATGCACATGTTCCCATGGAGAACAGGTGTGGATTTTTGTCTGTGGTGGAGCTGAAAGCATTGTAAGTGTTGTAAGCATACAAATATGAGTGCTCTGCTATGGTCTTAGCCTCAGTTGTGAAAATCATCTGCTGGTTTTCTGCAATTGAATGAATGCAGTTCCAAATACTGCCACAGGAAAACAGAAAAGCCACAGCTGGAAACCAGACTGTAGAAATGGTCATTTTGGTGGGGATGCTGGCTGAGGATCTCAGCCTGGGTCTATGAACAACGGTTACCACTTAGAAATGGAATTGTGCAGGTTGCAAAAATAAAGAACTGATCTATGGGAATGCTGCAAGCATTGGGATGTGAATGCCAGTGGAGCAGCCTCAGTGCAGGGCCATAAGCACCACGAAACCCGTTCTTTGGTGTGGAAATGCTGGGGGAGAGGGCTGGGAATCACCTCTCCACCACGTTCCCTCGATGTACGAAGCACCCAGGCAGTTGCAGGAGCACGACCAGTGGTGTTGTGTGGGGGATTCTGACAGCCCTCTCTCAGATGATACGCAACACGTCAGCCCAACGCCAGCTACTTCGCCGAGGGTGCAGGGGCTTGTATGGCTCCGAACCTCTGAATTTCGGCTGCTACCTGCATCCTGTACCCCAGGACCGCTCCTAGGCGTTGCTCGCCGGCTTTCCTTTTGTCTCCTAGCGGTCTGACAGCTCACCATTCCCATCCACGGCGATTTGGGGGAGGGGAGCCGTGCCACTGCTGCGACCGCTCTACGAATCGCTCGGGTTGGGCTCAGAAAAGCCCACGAAACACCCTTTCCGTGCCGGCCGGGACTCGCGGGGCTCTCCGGCACCGGACAGCACCGCCGCTGCCGGTGCCGGGCGTTTCAAACAGCCATCTGTCCCGCGGCACGCGTGACTCCGGCTCTGTCTATAGGCGGAGGCTCTCCCAGCCGCGCCTCACGCCCGCTCCGGAGTCCCCCCAAGCCCCCGCCGCCTCCCGGGGCAGCCGGGCCCGGCCCCTCGGGCCACACCCGCCGAGGGGAGGGGGCCGGGTGGGCGGCCCGCCCGCCCGCCCCCTCGGGCCACTACCGCGCCCGCCGGCCCCAGCATGGACGCTGCCGGCCCGCCGCCCGCCGGTCCCGGGGGATGGGGCCCCGGGAAGGAGGAGCAGGCGGCGTACGCGGAGGTGTGCGGTTCGTCCGGAGCAGAGAGCGAGGCCCGGGCGAGCGGGGCGGCGGCGGCCGCGGATAGCCCGGCCCCGGTAGGGCATCACCCCGAAGCCGCCGCCCCGGGATGTGGCGCGGGGCCGGGGTCGCCGTCCTCCTCCTCCTGCCCCTCGGCCGGCAGCGCGGCGGGCGGCGGGGGGACGGAGGAACCGGCGGCCGTCGGGGGGCAAACTTCCTCCTCCTCCTTGGGCTGCGAGAGCGACGAGGAGACCGGAGCGGGGCGCGGGGCCGGCGGGCCCCCCCGGAGAGCCCCCAGGGGCGCGCCCGGCGCGGCGGGGCCGCACTACATCAGCACGCAGGAGATCCAGCTGAGCGAAGTGGACCACGATATGGACTTCGACGCGGGACTGGCCGCCCGCTGGGACTTCGAGGACGACAACGTGATCTACTCCTTCGTGGACTACGCCTCCTTCGGCAGCGACGAGACCCCCGGCGACACGCCGACGGAGGAGGACAACAGCTGCTACCTCAGCACGACGCCCAGCGAGCGCACGGCGCGGGCGGACAGCGCGGGCAGCGGCAGCGAGGCGGCGGGCGGCAGCTCGGGCAGCGACGCGCCTCGGCGGCCCGGCGGCGCGGGAGCGAGCCCCGCGGGACACATCCTCCTATCAATCAAAGCGGCCTCACGGGCTATAAATGAGTGTAGCGCCGCGCGGGAAGAGCGCGACTCAATCTACGCCGCCGAGCATGAAGGCGACATGAGCCTCCGCGTCGCCGCGGCTCCGGAGCGCGCGGCGGGCTTCGGGCAGGACGCCGGCCGCCAGCACGCCAAAAAGTTCATCGCCGTCCCCGCGCGCCTGCAGACGCGCTGCGGGGCCAGGGAGGCGGGCGGCTGCTCCAGCGGCGCCTCCAGCGCCGTCAGCGAACTGGACGACGCCGACAAGGAGGTGCGCAACCTGACGGCCCGCGCCTTCCGCAGCCTGGCGTACCCCTACTTCGACACCCTCAGTCTCGGCTCCCGCGCCTCCTCCGCCTCCCTTTCCGACCATGCGCTGGGCGTCAACCGCTGGTCCACCTACCTGGACCTCAAGTGCGGCGCGCTGGGGCCGCGGGGCGCTGCGGGCGGCGGGCAGCTGTGCGTGCGCTCCGGCAAGGCGCCCAGCAGAGCGCTGCAGTTCGTGGTCAGCAAGCTGGACGGCGAGATCGCGCACGTCGAAGCGCCGCCGCCGCCCCGGGGAACGCTCGGCGTGCGGGAGCCCGGCCGGGCCGCCCGCCCCGATGAGGAGGAGGCCAGCAAGAAGTCCAGGTTCGCCTCCAGCCTGCTGAAGAACGTCATCTCCAAGAAGATGCAGCTGGAGCACGAGTTCAAGATGGAGCGGGGCGAGCTCACCGACACGTCCTCGGCGGGGCCCGGCGCCGCGCCTCCCGCCGGCCGCGACCCGGAGCCCGGCGCTGGGACCGGAGGCGGCGGGCGGCCGCGGGAGGGCGGCCTGCAGCGGCAGAGCTCCCGGCTCTCGGAGGGAGGCTCGGAGCACGGCGCGCCGCCGCCAGAGGAGCCGGGGGAGCGCGGTGGCGGGCGCTCGCCGGCCTCCAAAGCGTCTACGCCGCGCGAGGGGAGCCAGGAGAGAGCTGCGGCAGAGGAGACGGCCGAGGCCCGGCGGGGCGGCTCGGAGGCGGCCAGGGCCACCTTCTTGCGCAGCCAGCACAGCGCCTTCAGGTCGTGGAAGGAGCGGGAGGCGGAGAGCAAGGAGGAGCGGGCGTCCGGCGGCAAGGCGAAACCGTTCCCGCGGCCCGAGCCGGGCGAGCCGGCCGCCGGCAAGGCCACCAAGCTGTCGCGTCTGTTCGTGCCCGGCATCCAGCACGCCGCTAAGGAGAAGGAGCCCGCCGGGCAGCGCCCCGCCGCCGCCTCGCCGCCCGCCGCCAGGCCACGGCTCCCCGAGATCAAGATCAGCCTAGGGCCACCCGCAGAGCCGTCGTTCAGCATCGCGCAGCTGCTGACGCCGCAACTGGCCGCCCGGCCGCCTGACACCGGCCACAGGGCTCCGCGGGCCGACGGCTCCGACAGGGTGCCGCAGTTCTTGGTGCGCGACGTGCGGGAGGGCAAGGGCAAGGCGCAGGCTCCCCTTCATCAGGTGCGGGACGTGCGTAAGCTCATCAAAGGCTCCCATGGCGGCGACTCGGCGGATAACTGCAGCGACAGGGGCAGCGTGGGATCCGAGCAGGGCGGCGCCGAGCACCGGCAGCCCGGCCCGGCCGAAGCGGGGAGCAAACCGGCAGCGGGGGGCAGGGCGCTGGGCTGCCCGCCGGAGGGCACCGTGCTGGTGCACCGCACGTCGGGCCGCCTGCCCGTGGCCACCATCGCGCCCAACAAGAGCGACCCGCGGCAGCCCGCCGTGCTTAAGATCGTCGCCAAGTCAGCCGCGCCTTGGCGGCACCAGGCGGCCCCGGTTCCCGCCGAGAAGGGCCGCGGCGCGGAGGAGGACCCGCGGGAGGAGGGCAAAGCGGCGCCGGTACAGAACGCGCTGGAGAAGCTGACGGCGGCGGTGCGCAGCATGGAGGAGCTGTACAGCTTCAGCAAGCGCGAGTGGAAGCGCAAGAGCGACCCGCTGCCCATCACCGGCAGCCACGTCCTGTCCCTCATTGCCAGCCAGGAGCGCGACGCCGCGCCCCGCCCGCCCCTCGCCGCCGAGCCAACGCCCAAGGCGGAGGAGCCGGCGAACAAGGGCCCGGGCCCGGCGGGAGGAGAGCGACTGCCGCGCCGGGCCGCCAACCCCGCCGCCGCGGCCGACAAGGTGTCCGCCAAGGCGGCCGCCTTCGAGAGCCTGGCCCGG